AGGAAGAGATCTTGGAGTTTGAGTGTCATAGATGGAAGTGTGGTGTATTAGGAAAAAGTTATTTTTAATTGTGCAATCTAAATTTAAAAAAAAAATAAAAATAAAGGATTAAAAGAAAATAAGATTATAAAAAAATAAAAATTAAGACATTTTAACATTAAAAACATAAAGCATTTAATTCTAATCATATAATAAATGAGAATTAAGTGGGTCTATATTATGTCTCACTCCTCATATTTTTTTTTAAGTTAATATTTTATTTAAATTAAAGAGTACAAGGGTAACTCCAAATCCATTATATAACAAACTTGCACACAAACTATTAATTACAAGTTTCCTCTTCTTGTAAGCAGATCCCTGTGTGCGAATTTCCTCATAATAGAACAACAATGAATCATAGCTTGCCCATAAAGCAGCCCACTAAAGCATATCATAGCTTGTTACCTCCTGAGTGAAACACATTTATCTACCCCTTTTCTTCATGCAATCTTGTGGCTCTTTACTCATCATGTGATTTTGAGTAAATGTCATGACATTTTTTAATATCAGAATATCTTAAGTTTTTGCATCTTATACCCAATAATTAAGAATTTAGTGCCAAATAAGTTAGCTCTTTACATTGCTAAGCAAAGTTCAATTTTCTCGTTAACCAAATTGGGAGCTTAAATTAGTATGATGTGCTAAAACTACTGCTTATTGTTACATAAAAAAATATAAAATATTACCCATTGTGTTAAAAAAAATTTAAAAAGTAAAATATTCAAATCCACCTCCTAAACAATATCAAGTTGAAAATCTCCCCCCTCAATTTTTTTGTTTAGAAATAACCTCCTCTACTCATCTTTATAAGCAAATTGGCCCTTATTTAAACGATGGCATCAGTCGATATCATCAAACCATTCACTTGGTTATTACATCGTACTTACCATTATTATCTTCCCATTTATTAATAAGAATTAAACCTTTTTTTTATTCCCCTCTTCTCACTTGAGTTTAATTTATTAAAACAACTTTTGAAATCTCAAGTTCAAATTAGAAGTTTACCCCACGCAAGAAAACACTAATGGGTAAATGGAGGTTTGATGGTGAGGACAACCTAACAACAATGTAAACAAATTAATAATGTCGAACAATATAATCCATGGAATAAGGGCTAAGCTGCCTAAAAGTGTAACTAAAATTGTTGAGGGGTTTATCTGTAGTGAAATATGTTCAATAGGAGATTTCCAATCTAAAGTTTAGTAGGGGGCTGGTTTGCATATTTTGCCAAAGAAAATGTGTCATATTTATTTATTTATTTATTTTTACTTTATCATGATTTTTTGAACAAAAAAAAAATTATCTTTAAATTTTGATATGAAAATAAATAAATCTTAACCATTTATAGTAAAAAAATGAATGATCAAAATTTTGTATAAGTAATACAGGTAAAAATTATGTGTAAATAAATCCTAACTCATATATATAAAAAAAGTTGTTTTACAAGCTATCCTTTGAAATTTTTTAGAGGGCTTGCCTAAAAACTCATTTTCTAATTAATTTTTTCAAAAACAAACCTTTGAATAAAAAATCTATTCATATAAATTATGCATGTGAATTTTTAAGATGATGTAAAAGA